TGCAATCAATTACAATCAGTAAATCAAAAACAATGGCAATAACAACAATAACAGTAGCTGTAATGTCAGCAACAACTATAACAATAATAATAACAGCAATTACAGCAATAACAGCAACAACGATAGCATATATACATGTAATGATAACAGCAAATACAACAACAAAACCAGTAACAGCCATAATACATGTAATAAAAAACAAGGACAACGATATCAACAACTACAACAACAACAGTAAAAAAAACAACAACGATATCAACAACTACAGCAACAACTACAACAACAACAGTAACAAAAACAACAACAACAAAAAAAGGCAAAGACTACGACCACTTGATATATAAGCTCTTTTCGGTCAGCTTCATCCCCCATAAATCACCTCGTTATACTGTAACCTGACCCACCATACCCAGCCAGAGACAAATCTAACGGGCAACTCGATCTCGCAAAGAAACAAGAACCCAGGAAAATTGTGAAGCAATCAGACTGGGTTTGTTCTCTGAAAAAAAAATCATTTTAAGAGAACATAATAATTATCATCTTACAGTGATTTTTTTCTGTTTGGTATTTCATAAATTTCCCCCCTTTTTAGTGGTTATTCTTTTGCGACACAAAGAGAAGCTACATAAGCCTATAGGGTCAACCTCTTCCTTTTCTCTTTTGAAACAACTTTTTTCCTTTTATTATAACGTAACATCCTCTTTGATTTTTATGATCTCTGCGACGGTGCATTGCCGAACCTATTCGTGCTATCCACACCTGATCCTGCCCACCTGCTTTCCTTCCTTTGTACTTATAATTTTTATCTCTGTCTTCTACTGTGTCTTCAATAACTTTTCTATGTGTTCTCTTGCTCCAACGTCCACCGCTTTCAATGAAATCAATGTTAGTCTAGCAAGCGCATATTTCACCGCACATATACGAGTGCTCTAGCCTGTGTCAGGAAGGGGGGAGATTTCTTCACTGACGGGCTTACAGTTGGTTAATTGTTTAAGAGGTAGGATTATCATCATCATCATTATCATCATCATCATCATCATCATCATTATTGTAAATACATTTAAATAGACTTTAACATATTTAAGAAAAGGTTTGTGACTGTTTGTCCGTCCTTTTAGTAAATAGGTTTGCGCCAGTGCATTTGTTAGGACACTTACAAGACCAAAACTGTGTCAATCAATCATCAAAAACATTAAATATGTCAAGGCAAAGATCAAATAAAATACGTCTATGCTTCTGGCTGTTGATATTGTGTTCACACATCGACACAGTTAGTACAGCTGATACTTTAGGGGCTTCGATGCTATTTGTCAGTTAGCAACTGCTACCCTTCTAGAAAACAGAGATTGGTCAGAAAGGGGCTCAACCCTTGCTCTCTGTGCTTGGCCTGCCAGATTCCCAGACTTAATCGTGTGCAGTTTGTTGGTTGTTTATTTTTCCTTGTAGGGATGATTAAAAGATGGTGTTTATGTTCCACCGCTACCCACTAACCTCGATTACCTTAAACATCGAAGAACAGCAACAATCAACTCAGTGGGCCGTGATATGCTGAGACGCGTCTGGGATGGCATGGTCGCTTTTAAGGACAAGCGGGCTAACCCAGATTTCGAGGGTTTCCTGAAATCTTAACCTTTACCAAAAGTGGGCATTGCCGTACCTATAGGTGAAGTTTGGTTTCAGTGGTGTGTATATTTGTTTGGTTATAGAGAAAACTCTTCTTGTCTTTTAAAGAAACTGAACAAGGGGCAACAATTTTACCTTCGATTTTCTCAAAACAGCATTGTTCGGGATAGACCCCTTGTGATTAAAAGCGACAAATTCTCTTGTCGCTTTGATGTTGCCTGCGCTGGTGGCCACATTGATCATATTGTAAGACAAGGAATAACATATTATGCGGCTTAGTTTAAGCTTTCCATTGCTTTTTCTTTTCAAAGTATTGCGTAATGAAATCGGTTCCTTCTTTTTTTAATCACCCTGTATATATATTTATTGAATTATAGAAAGCAAAGAGCAGCGGCCTTGACAGTGCCCAGTCTAGGGTATGTTAGGTGTGCTGACAAAATGAGTTACTTCTTGGATTTTAACCCTATGGAAATTTCACTGTGCTAGTGGGCACAAGGGCGGTCAAATGAAGGGGGAGGGGGCTAAAACACTCAAAACAACAGCCTCTATACACTTGGCATCTTTCTCCTTGCTCTTCATTTGGTTCCAAATTGAGTTAAATGATGCCCTCCATGCCTCCATGGCGAACCGGAATTACATTAGAGCGCAAAGTATGGATGTTATAATATAAATACAGTCAATGGAAGAAACAAATTTATTGGACGCGAGGGAGATAGTCTTCAGCTGAGAAGCTGAGTGTGCTAACGACATGTTTGGTCATACTTATAACATAATGTGGAATAATATTCTGTCTTTGATTACTTACCCCTCCACCACCCACTTTATGTTTCCAACGTATAAGTTTTTCTCATTGTGTTACTATTTTCTCTTTCCCTTTCTCCTCCTCCCTCCC